GGGAAATCAAAATAGAACTAGTGATAACAAGGCGCTCTGATTGTTTTTGTTGTAGAATACGATAGGGGATATATTCACACGTTATAGAAACGAAAATGATGGTGTATAGAATTGATTTTAAGATAAAAAATTAGACGACAAAGAATTAACTTGACGGAGCTCAAACTGAAAACACACGGCAGCAACAAACAGGAAGTGACGTGTCAGGGATCTTATCTATGCACAATCAGCTTGTAACACTCCAAAGAGAAAGGAAAACTTGAAATCGCATCATATGACCCCTTTAATTATTGTAATTTCAAACAGTTATCAGTTTTGAACACTGGCTGGTTATGTACTTGCTCAAATATTGATTTCGGATAATTTTTAACCAAAAAAAAGTTACGGACTGCAGCTTTAACATTAAATTAAATACAACATAACTGCTAAAAGGGGCCCTTTTGCAGTGTAAGTCAACATAAACATAACATTAGGTTGTTAAACACTTAAATAATAAAATCTTTATCCGCTCCTTATAGTCTCCTGGTCCACATCGCTTTGGTCCAATATAGTTTTATCACTTTGTATAAAGTGTCTTTCTAGAAAACAAACATTTTCTCACAACCTTGCGTGAATTCTTCTGATAGAGTAAACTTACATCATGAAATTTAATCGCAGCAGGGTAACAGGTGCATTAAAGCTAACATTGGCATCAAGCTATATGAGACTATTTATAAAATTAATACTACACTTTTACTCAAATCTCACTTCGAATCACCAAAGTGTTTGTAATAACCTCCGATTGCAATCTAATGTGGATTTTGGTCATATAGCCTAAAGGCCTTTCCACACTGAGCACGAAAAAGCGAGACGAATATCGGACGCGATGATGTGCTGGAATAAAACTACAGATTCCTATGGATGCTTCCACATAGACCGCGAACGTTCGCGCACCGAAAATGCAAATGTTTTTTTTTTTCTCGAACCAGTCCGACGAATCTTTTCAGTTTCGCAAAGCGAAAACACGGGCTGTCCAATAAGATTTGAGCTAGGTCTGGCCGATAAAACAGTATCGATATTTATCGACAGTACACCTTCTTCGATAACGATATAAAAAATGTTCAATATAGTGAACAATATAGGCACGTGCTATGAGTGATGCAGACAGCTCACACAAACACGAACACATGCTGAATTGAGTGCTGTGCCTGCCTGTGATGAGGAGATTGTGAATAAAAAAATGAATATTAGTCGAAT